GGATGCATGCAATCGTTTTTTAATGTCAACTATTTAGTTGTTGATCTAAACATGGAACAAAAACCTCTTACTTGCATGCATGCATAAAAGGAGGCAAAATAGCAGAGGCTAAGGCACCACCTAATCATGAAAAATAAGTGCTTTCATCTCCCTAGAAAAATGGTGGAACAGATGAAGATCAGAGTAAACTGATATTTATTTTTCCCTACATAACTTTTTTCAATGCAATGCGGACGTGGCTCTTTGAGGTAATAAAAAGTATCCATTTCACTTCTAAAAGCGGAGGATGTTAGTCCAGTGCCGGGTAAGGTTTACACCAGTTATGGCAAGCACCCATAAAAAGTGAGAGGGCAAAAAAAGCTCCTCGATAATATTCATAATAGAAATCATAAGCAGCAAAGAATGGCATGTACACAAAGTTCAGACACAAAGTAAGCTACCGAAATATACATATATTATTATTATTATTATTTCAACGAGAATAAATACCATACGTGTTATTTTAGTTCTTTGCAGTTCACCTCTTAGCATGTTTGGGTTACCTACGAGAACATCCGACATGTGCAAATTATTGTGTTATTGCCAGGTTTGCTCATAAACGTGGGAGGAAATGTGTGACAGTCATTGCTGGGGAAGCCTTGTAGCCTCGCTTCAAGCGGCCATGTTTGCTGAGGGCGATATAAAAGCCCTTGTAAATGGAAGACTCGTATGCGTTGTAATTGTTGGGCAGCAGTGTCTCCTTGAACTTGCACTCGTCACGGAAGGCCCTCTAAAAATGGTATGGATTAGATAGTTAGTTTGGTATTACTCCTCCCATCCTCCTCCTAAAACCTACACACCACTTCTCCATCACATACTCTCCATACACCCTCCTTTCTAATCTAACTACACTGAAAACATGTTTCATTCATCCAATTAGAGCAAGTTATTTATTTTTCATTGGCTCAAGTTAAAAAATATAGATGTGAATCATTACCCTAAATTTTTTTAATTGGATGAATGAAAAAAAAATTTAAAGTGCAGTAAAAATCACAAAGCAACACTAGTTCATTTTACTGAGTAATGAACAAACGGTCAAAACCCAGGCAATTAATTTCCAGTTTCCATAGAATTCAATGAGAATTCATGTTTTTACATCTTTCACAATCACCACAGAGCATGGACGTGGATTGAAGGTTCCTTTTTAAGGCCCATGCTGCTTCTGATGGAGATGCCAATCAGCTGAACATCAGAAAAGCCAAACTTATCAGTCCAGCAGTTTTATCTTCAATTTCTATTGCGTAAAAATGACTTTGTCTGCTTAACTGATCTCTGACTGTGCCAACTGCATAAATCTTTTAAGTGACTTTAATTAATAGATTTTATCAATACATCAGATTTATCGCTTGCACAAAAATGTGGAACTGTTAATAACATGCACATAGTCTGTATGCTAGACAAAGCTCTAAATTCACCATTTTTTTTTTTTTTAAGTAGAAGCTACTGCCACTGACAGTGATTGACTATCACATGGCAAATGAAGGACCCTGGAGTTACAAAGGTTGAAATGCAATCTAGCTGCATGATTCTGCTACACTCTTAAAAATAAAGGTTCCAAAGTGGGAGTTTAAGATGCCACAGACAGAAGAACCATTTTTGGTTCCCCAAAGAACCTTTCAGTGAACAGTTCTTAAAAATAACCATTTTTCCTGGTGTGAAGAACATTTTAATAATCTTAAGAACCTTTTTTTGACCAGAAAGAATCTTTTGTGGAATGGAAAGTTTCAATGGAACTCTCAGTGCCAATAAAAAAAACTTTATTTTTAAGAGCGTATGTCATCAAAAGAGATAATGTGTTACTCATGGTGAGATCTGGCATCTAAATAATCCATGTGCAAAGTAGGTCAAATTTACATTCAAGCCATGCACAACATCACAGCTCATATGAGCCAACAGTTATTAAAAATGAATGACAAGCCAATGTACTGAATGTAACATCAAGTGCAGCTGAGGAATCAAGACATTTCCAAACCGAATGACATATTCCAGACCATGATGCTCATATTTGAGTGCACTTCAAAAATGAATCAAACGAAAATTGACACATTTGGGTCAATGACTGGATGTGACTTTTTTTTCTCTCGTCAGAATCTAGTTTTTTTTTAATACATTAAAATTCTTTTGATTTCAGTTTTTGAATCAAAAGATTACACCATCGTGCGAACTGTTCCATTTCCACACGAACACTTTTCGGCACGGTATGATTTCAAACCGTTGGTTTGATAGTTGGATAACGGTGTTCTAGACAACAGTAGCCTATAAAAAGGCCGCTGTCCAGTAGAAAAAAATAGGCCTAGGCCTACACGTCGTTCTCGTAAATGTTTACCTTCAGTATCAGGCGTTCAGTCGCCAGTCTTCAAGGTTATGCACATTCTAATCCTTATTTCGTAGCGCCAGCACATTAGTCATAAATGTTGGATGGTGTTGTGACCTTTAATAAAAGGCACATTTTGTTCATGTCAAACGAAGAAAGAAAATGTCTTGATATTTGTTGAAAACTGTTTTTATTTGTGTACACTCACATGTATTCAAAGTTCATAGAAAATATTTAAGTTTATCTTAATGGTTAACCCACTTGACATTTTAGAGCCATTAAATAAATACATAAATATATCTATATTTTTTATGAAACCAACTAGAACTTGCCACTAAACTTGGCATTTTTATCACCTCAGACTTGATGAATCCTTATTTGTCACTGACCCATTTAACACTACAAGACTGAAGTGGCGTTTTCTGCACAATACAACGAAATCAAACGACAGGCATACCTACCGTTCCGTATAACCTTCCGCGGCTGCTCATTGCGACAAACAGCTTGCTTTTCACTCCGTATAGACTAACCACTCCTCTCTCTACCGCTGAGATTTCTGTTAGACCTGATTGAACAGAACATCAGTGTTACATACATGACAATGTGGCACACGGCAGCTCATTTACTCAATCTGTAGGATGCGTTCTGTGGGTGGATCCAGGGGATGCACAGAGCCTTTGTTCTGCATTTTCTCCCATGCTGGCTCATTTCTTATACTGTGACATGGAAAAAAGCCCTGCAGTTCTGGCATGTACGACAAGCAGATGGACGCTGTGTAAAATTAGTTGGCGTCTAAATTCGTCCAAGCATTCGTGTCATGTTTGAGCCTTGGGAAATTCGGCAGTGATTGACACTAGGGTTTATTTTAATAGATATGTCATTGCTTTAGGACACATGCAACATGCACATGCATAATAGTAATAGGGGCCTAATAATAATACAATTAAAATATATATTAATTTAGCATAATTAAAGTTAAATTAAAAATAATTATATATCCTACAGTGTGTGTGTATATATATATATATATATATATATATATATATATATATATATACACACACACTGTAGGATATATAATTATTTTTAATTTAACTTTAATTATGCTAAATTAATATATATTTTAATTGTATTATTATTAGGCCCCTATTACTATTATGCATGTGCATGTTGCATGTGTCCTAAAGCAATGACATATCTATTAAAATAAACCCTAGTGTCAATCACTGCCGAATTTCCCAAGGCTCAAACCTTCAGGATGACATCACGCTGACCTCACCGCCGCCGGGGGTCAGTTCGAACGCCAAAACCCAATCGCTGTCAATCCACGCGAGCGGCCCCGGGGAGAGCGAGCGCGAGAGTGAGCGGGAGAGAACATGGGGCGTGATGGGCTTCGTTGGCAGCTCCCAAATTGGACCGGCAGTCATATGCCTGACGGGCCGCTTCCTTATTTAGAAGGAAGGTGTAAAAACAGGCCAGTTGTCACCGCGGAGCCATGTCAATCTTGCAAAACACTTCCTGCGCTGTTTGCTCAGGAAGCTTTCACTAAGCTATATTTTGAATATGCCCCCTTGATTTATTCATCTGGGTAAAATCACATAGCCTAGTTGGACGTAACGCACGTCCGAGCGCGAGCTGAACTCCTAACGCCTAATTGACTAATCACTTATAGATAGATAGATAGTTAGATAGATAATGTTTTTTACACCTGGCAGGTACACAAAAATTAAAGACAGCAGGCTGTGTGTCCAACAGGTGGCGCTGTCTCATGTTAAAATTTTACGCGCATCCAATAGGCCTACTCAAATTGAGTGTGCTACGTATTTTTCTACGTTTTATGTTATTTATCACTATTATTATGATTGTTTATGCATAATTGTACAGCACGTAATCCTCCTGTACAGTGCGAGGTCCCAGTATGGTAAAATGTTTAATACCTAGCTTTGTTAATAACTTCTAAGATTCTTTTGGAGAAAGTAATTGGCTATTTATTTTAATTTCTTCCTTGTGGATTTAATGATATTTGAGACTGATATCAAAACTCACCACTTCTCAAATTGAATTAACCTAAATCAGTCAAAATATTAAATTATGTTTATAAGAAACTTATTTTCCCTGTAGGTTGCTTTAAATGATAAACTTATTTAAATCAACCTACAGGGAAAATAAGTTTCTTCATTATCAACATTGTTTAAAAATGTAAAATAAACTTAAAATAAAATAGACCAGACCAGACTCCTAGTAACTGGTATCTTTATATTTGTGGTTTAAAGATGTATAATCATCTCTAAATGGAGACAAATAATTATTTATCTGAATTCGGAGCTAAACTATAATTAAAACTTGAGTCAAACATAATCCATATGGACGCCAGATGAAGCGCAATGCAGTTTGTTTTTTCCATGCGAAATCCTGACCCATTTATCTACAGCATTAATTGTCCAAACACTTCAGAAGTCTAATTCAAGGAACAAAAGAGAATGTTGAATAGTTGCGTGCGGCAGCATCATTTCATATGGATCCACTTCATAACATGACACTGCACTAATTAACAGAAATTAGTTTGATGCCAAAGTTAGAAGGTTTTGTCCTCTGCTGACACAAAAAGATTAACCAAACATAATTTAAACATTCAGGAAAAAATTGAGCCTGCAATCGTTTTTTCCTCTAATATCATAAATATTTAATCAAATGTAAAGTATATTATCCATTGGGAATTTATTGGATAGTAAAAATTATTAATGTATGTCACTATTGAGGGGACAACCAGGCATAAAGCAACACAGCATGACATCATCTGAAACCTACCAGTAAAACAAAATTGCCCATGGCATTAGTTTGATGCAAATCACACAGGAAAAAAATATCTGAATTCAAGCTATAAACAATAGACATACTGCATTAGATGTGACAGTTCACCACTTTAAATAATTCATCCAAAATAATCAACCAAAAAATTCTCAGCATTTAAAATATCAGTAACTCTTTTAGTAGTTCATTGTGTTGTGACTGGACTGATGATTTTTCAACTGGACAGCAAGTTTATCCTGAGAATTTGGAAAACCTTTCACAATGTCACACCCCATAGCACTCATACACAAAGCTCCACACACACACACACTCTCTGACCAACGGTGAGTGTACTTACAGATGCATAACTCAAATAAAACAATAAAAATGTTACAGTTTTGTAAAAGTAACTTACTGTAACAGCCACAAAATAGAAAAGTCATATTGAAAAATATGCCAAATTGTCATTTGAACACCAGATTGAGATTTTATACATGAAAATATTGTGCTATTAGTCTTGTCTAATGACCAAGATTTCAAGAAAAAAATAAAATTAAATACAATTAAGACACTTTTGTTTGACAAACAAGTCAAACAAGGTTAAAGTACTACATAAATACAGACCTCGCCAAAATGGGTTGCTTATAAATTCCCATAGGGATATAAATATATGTATATATTATCAATATAAAAATATATATACAATAAAATAGTTCTTTACAAAAAGTCTTTAAAACACAATAGGAATTACATCAAGTTCAGTTTGATGTGTCCATGGGTCCCATAGAGATCTGAGAATGCACAATTAATCCTCAAATCAAACATGACCTATGAAGAAAAAGGATAAACAATGCAGTCAGCAAAATGTAGTACAAAGGACTTGCACAGCCTTGCATTAGAAAAAGCAAACACTTGTCTAAGGTAGGACTGGTACAGAGCGCCTAAACGGACAATGATGTTAAAAAAAATACTACTAATAATAAAAATATGTTTTGGGAAGAAAAATAGCATTCTCTCGCAAAAGTATTGCATTCCCCCAAGAAACTTTGCAATTTGCATTATCTTGAAAAAGTATTGCATTCCCTTGAGAATCTTTTCATTCTCTCGCAAAACATTCATGTTCTCTTGCAAAAGTATTGTGATCCCTTGAGAAACTTTGCGTGCTGTCATGAAACATTTGTGTTTTCTCGAAAAAGTATTGCGTTCCCCCCAAAAAACATTACATTCTCTCACAAAAGTATTGCGTTCGCCTGAGAAACTTTGCGTTCTTTCGCAAAACATTTGTGTTCTCTCACAAAAGTATTGCATTCCCCCCGAGAAATGCTGCGTTTGCAAGGAAAACGTTTGCATTTTTCCACTTCATATTATTTCCATCACAAAAGTTTTGTGAGTGAATGCAGTTTCTCAGGAGAACCCAATACTTTTGGAAGAGAAAGCAAAAAGAATTGAAATGTAATTTTTCTTCCCATCTCATCTTTTTAACCATCACTTTCTGTAGATTAGTCAGTGACATTTAACATGATGCTTAGTAAAAGGTGAACTGTGAAATGACTCACATAATTACGGTTTCTTTCAGCTTCTGAGGTCTTTTTGGTCAAAGATGATGTGGGTGGCAAAATAGATGCCAATGGCGCTAAAGATGGCAGAGGAGGCGATGTACGTGGTGACGGACTCTGTGAACTGGACGATCATGCCCATGAAGAGGGTAGGGAAGACCTGAGAGAGAAGGAAGGTGCTGTCCAGAATGGCAAAGTCTAGTCCCACTCCACGTTTCTCAAAATCCTCTGACTCCAAACCAAGGGCGGCACCGTTCTGATGCAGAGGTGGGTAATACTCTGGTTCATCTCTACTGTAAGAAACATGCCCATTGGAAATGTCACTCTTGTGGTTGAGATCTCCAGGGCCGTTGTCTAGTGTCAGACAAACAGAATCCCTTGCGATGGTGAATCCATTTGTGTGCGTTTTTTTGGTTTTGCTGTTTTGCATGTACACCTGAAGGAAGTTAGTGATGAGAAGCAAGTGAGACATATGTAACAAATATATCTAGTTTTTATAATTTATTAGGTCTTTTTGCCATTTTGTATAGGCACCATAAAGGCATGACATTAAATAATAAGGAAAATGTTTTTTTTTACAGTTTATTTTTATTTTTGTTACATAAATAGGCTCACAATGCTTTTATAAGTAGTTTTGCCAAATATATTTGCATTTTTGTAAAGGACAAGGCTTTTTATATCAGGAAATATTGCAAGACGGATTCAAACTGACATATGGTGCTCATTTATTTTCTGCCAGTTTGAATCTGGCTTGCAACATTTAGTGAAATAATATTTAAACAATGTTATCCTTTCTAAAAAAAAAATATATATATATATATATATATATAATAATAATAATAATTATAGAAAAAATTGAGCCTGCAATCGTTTTTTCCTCTAATATCATAAATATTTAATCAAATGTAAAGTATATTATCCATTGGGAATTTATTGGATAGTAAAAATTATTTATGTATGTCACTATTGAGGGGACAACCAGGCATAAAGCAACACAGCATGACATCATCTGAAACCTACCAGTAAAACAAAATTGCCCATGGCATTAGTTTGATGCAAATCACACAGGAAAAAAATATCTGAATTCAAGCTATAAACAATAGACATACTGCATTAGATGTGACAGTTCACCACTTTAAATAATTCATCCAAAATAATCAACCAAAAAATTCTCAGCATTTAAAATATCAGTAACTCTTTTAGTAGTTCATTGTGTTGTGACTGGACTGATGATTTTTCAACTGGACAGCAAGTTTATCCTGAGAATTTGGAAAACCTTTCACAATGTCACACCCCATAGCACTCATACACAAAGCTCCACACACACACACACTCTCTGACCAACGGTGAGTGTACTTACAGATGCATAACTCAAATAAAACAATAAAAATGTTACAGTTTTGTAAAAGTAACTTACTGTAACAGCCACAAAATAGAAAAGTCATATTGAAAAATATGCCAAATTGTCATTTGAACACCAGATTGAGATTTTATACATGAAAATATTGTGCTATTAGTCTTGTCTAATGACCAAGATTTCAAGAAAAAAATAAAATTAAATACAATTAAGACACTTTTGTTTGACAAACAAGTCAAACAAGGTTAAAGTACTACATAAATACAGACCTCGCCAAAATGGGTTGCTTATAAATTCCCATAGGGATATAAATATATGTATATATTATCAATATAAAAATATATATACAATAAAATAGTTCTTTACAAAAAGTCTTTAAAACACAATAGGAATTACATCAAGTTCAGTTTGATGTGTCCATGGGTCCCATAGAGATCTGAGAATGCACAATTAATCCTCAAATCAAACATGACCTATGAAGAAAAAGGATAAACAATGCAGTCAGCAAAATGTAGTACAAAGGACTTGCACAGCCTTGCATTAGAAAAAGCAAACACTTGTCTAAGGTAGGACTGGTACAGAGCGCCTAAACGGACAATGATGTTAAAAAAAATACTACTAATAATAAAAATATGTTTTGGGAAGAAAAATAGCATTCTCTCGCAAAAGTATTGCATTCCCCCAAGAAACTTTGCAATTTGCATTATCTTGAAAAAGTATTGCATTCCCTTGAGAATCTTTTCATTCTCTCGCAAAACATTCATGTTCTCTTGCAAAAGTATTGTGATCCCTTGAGAAACTTTGCATTCTGTCATGAAACATTTGTGTTTTCTCGAAAAAGTATTGCGTTCCCCCCAAAAAACATTACATTCTCTCACAAAAGTATTGCGTTCGCCTGAGAAACTTTGCGTTCTTTCGCAAAACATTTGTGTTCTCTCACAAAAGTATTGCATTCCCCCCGAGAAATGCTGCGTTTGCAAGGAAAACGTTTGCATTTTTCCACTTCATATTATTTCCATCACAAAAGTTTTGTGAGTGAATGCAGTTTCTCAGGAGAACCCAATACTTTTGGAAGAGAAAGCAAAAAGAATTGAAATGTAATTTTTCTTCCCATCTCATCTTTTTAACCATCACTTTCTGTAGATTAGTCAGTGACATTTAACATGATGCTTAGTAAAAGGTGAACTGTGAAATGACTCACATAATTACGGTTTCTTTCAGCTTCTGAGGTCTTTTTGGTCAAAGATGATGTGGGTGGCAAAATAGATGCCAATGGCGCTAAAGATGGCAGAGGAGGCGATGTACGTGGTGACGGACTCTGTGAACTGGACGATCATGCCCATGAAGAGGGTAGGGAAGACCTGAGAGAGAAGGAAGGTGCTGTCCAGAATGGCAAAGTCTAGTCCCACTCCACGTTTCTCAAAATCCTCTGACTCCAAACCAAGGGCGGCACCGTTCTGATGCAGAGGTGGGTAATACTCTGGTTCATCTCTACTGTAAGAAACATGCCCATTGGAAATGTCACTCTTGTGGTTGAGATCTCCAGGGCCGTTGTCTAGTGTCAGACAAACAGAATCCCTTGCGATGGTGAATCCATTTGTGTGCGTTTTTTTGGTTTTGCTGTTTTGCATGTACACCTGAAGGAAGTTAGTGATGAGAAGCAAGTGAGACATATGTAACAAATATATCTAGTTTTTATAATTTATTAGGTCTTTTTGCCATTTTGTATAGGCACCATAAAGGCATGACATTAAATAATAAGGAAAATGTTTTTTTTTACAGTTTATTTTTATTTTTGTTACATAAATAGGCTCACAATGCTTTTATAAGTAGTTTTGCCAAATATATTTGCATTTTTGTAAAGGACAAGGCTTTTTATATCAGGAAATATTGCAAGACGGATTCAAACTGACATATGGTGCTCATTTATTTTCTGCCAGTTTGAATCTGGCTTGCAACATTTAGTGAAATAATATTTAAACAATGTTATCCTTTCTAAAAAAAAAATATATATATATATATACTCAAATAGACCACCCTGGACCCAAAGAGATGCACCAGCCTGCTCATGACCAGCGAGAAGAAGGTTGAGGTAGCGCACTGCAGGAACAGGCCCAGGCTGCCCATACGGATACCTGTAGGGGTGATGTTGGAGAATTTCACTAGAGAAACAGGTTGGTTTTGTTTAGAATTAACACTCGATTCTGATTCAAGTGTTGATTCAGGTGAATCTCAGCATTGCACAAATATTGTTGCATAATTGCGATTAACAATATTTCAGTGTTGTTTATAG